AAGTCAGGGGTTAAAAAATAAAAAGGGCCAGGTGGTACTGGTACATGCCTTTAATCTTTAATCCCAGCACTCGGGAGGCAGAGGTAGGCAGATCTCTGTGAGTTCGAGACCAGCCAAGTCTACAAGAGCTATTTCCAGGACAGCCTCCAAAAGAATACAGAGAAACCCTGTCTCAAAAAAATTAAATAAATAAAAGGGAATTTCGAATCTATGACTGATGAGAAAGTGGTTGTTACTGTTCCTTTGGTTATTCTTCAATTTAAGAATTCTGAACCACATTCCTTTGTCCCTGGGCTTGACTAGTTTTTTCTCAGCTGAAAGACATCAGCATTAAGAGAGGCAATTCAATGATACAAAAACTAAAGGAGAGGGCTAGGTAGAGAAGAACTTAACAGACATGAATGAGATAGCCCCCAATACTTGGCTGATACAGGCTTTTTCCTTTTTCCTTTCTAAGACCTCCCCAGTCTGGCCCCACTTAGCTCACAGTCAGGAATTGAAAATGCATCAATTTAGCAGTCTAAGATAGACTAAAATACTGTTTAGTTTAATTTCCATACATTGTGAGACACACTTATAAGTTCTAAGATATTGCTCAGAATTAAAGAAGAATACAGTGAGAGGCAATTAAAGGCATTAAAACAGAAAGCCAAAAGGGGGAAAAGTATATTTAATAAGATTAGAAGTTCATCTAATTAAAAATAACCTTTAATTTACACCAGACATTCTGCTTTACAATGGTCTGAATTTACAACTGTATTCTAAGGATGGATGAACAAAATGAGTTCCCATAAGTATCAGCCCTGAGCTTCTTAGCCAAGTGTCCACAAGTAAACTTTCTAGCCCTAGCAGGATCTAGAACCAAAGTTGGAGTCTGGCGATCTGGGAGATGTTAAAAGAGGAAGAGGAAGAGGAAGTTACTGAAGCAAGGTCACCTGACATGCTATTGCCAGAAAATGTATGCAGACACTTACTGAATGCTGCTTACCAAGGCAAGCAGAATTGTGTTATTCTGCAGAAGGCTTAATTCAATCTGTCCTTCAATGCACACGTCATAATTTTTACTATTAGAAACAGAAAGTCTACAAAATTTACTTCTAGTTTATGTTTCTGGAGTTCCAATTTAGAAGATCAGACAAAAACTGCCCAAGAGGAAGAATTCCCCTTCATTAAACAAGCCATCTTATCTTTTTTCATTGGGTTAATTCTTTTAAATGCACACGTACATAGTTTTGAACATATGCAAATTATACTATTACATGTTTATTTATACTTCATCCAATTCTATAAATGGTATGTATCAATCAAAACAAAATGAAATAGCTTGCTCATGGATCGAATCCTTGATCTATCTAGAGGAATAAGCCAATAGCATCTACTAGACTGCAGCTTTTGAGAGATGATACTTGGAAACATATTGTCCAACAAAGGGGTGCAAGAGCCTTAAAGGAGAAATAGCCTCAATATTGATGTAAGGGATATAATCACCCCATTTCACCTCTTAATCGGGGTGAGCTGTCAGCATTTCTGCAGCAGTTTGTTAAGAAGCATTTAGACATCTGTTCAAGGAAAATGAAACCCTAAGCACCAAATGAGTAAATAATTAATCACCATCACTACTCCCAAACCTTCCTTCTTCAGCAAAGTTCTTTGGCTTCTGTCAGCCCCTATTCTCTGGGTCACCTAGGCCCATTCAAAAAGGGATACAAAGGAATCCAAATAGATGCCCTCCTAAAGTTTGAAACTACCTATCTTGACTGCATTTAAAATACAAATTGGTGTATCTTGTATGGGTTTGTAGCATCTTATAACATTTTTCCAAGTCATATTATACAAATTACATGGTGTGTGTGTGTGTGTGTGTGTGTGTGTGTGTGTGTGTACATGTGTGTGCACACAAAAACTGCAAGCCTATGTTAGCTCCAATGTGCTGTGTGGTTCTTGCTAGATCCTTTCATGTAATTCAACATCCCAGCATCATGAAACTTCTTAGGATTCCTCTTAACTGCTGCTGGATGGAATTTAAATTCCTAGAAAGCTGAATTGTATTTTCCTTCTTCGACCATGGAAGACCCATTCCTGCATTGCCAGGCTACCATTCTATGCTCACAACTTGCCAGAATAAAACACAGGAGGTGTACAGTGCTTGTTTATTCAGTCAGTCCAATCTTTATCTTTGTTTGGCTTGGCAGTAAAAAGACTAAAATGTGTAATGGAAAGACGCCTTTGCAATAAAATCCTCCAGCAAATACTTCTAATGTAGCTTCAAAAAGAAGGACACATTCTTCATACTCTTCATACCACTCTACCAGCACCCAAGGGGTAGTGTTCTATTAAGCCAAGTACTCCATCCACTTATTAACCTTAACTTTGTAACTGAGAAACAGTGAACTCGTCATAGGATTACACAATAATCAACACACCAGGCTAAGGACAGGGAGACAAGAATTCCTGTTTGGATAGTGACCCTGAGTAACTTCTGAAGACTTCTCTGGACCTGCAGTTATTTATTATTCTCTCTTCTTGGCTTCTCATAAAGCAAAAAAGAAAAAAAAAAGAGGCTAGACTGTGTCTCTCTACTTTGCCTATCTAAAGGGCTTAGTATCGTCAAGGACCTGAGCTAGGGTTCCTGAGATCAGAGGACATGTCTCCTTTAAAATGCCATTGGTCTGTTGCCACCTTCTCATTTGTCCCTCCACAAAGAAGCAGAGCAGCATGTGAAGAGGAAGAAAGACACAGTCTTTTATGCCTTAACAAGACACCAAGAGCGTGGACACTATTCCAAGAGGGGCTGTAACAGTGGGGTAAATAGGAAGGTTTCCTGTCAAACACTATGACTTGCTTACTGCAGTACTGAAAGGTGGGGTTATCTATGAGGAAAACAACAACTGGGGAAGTTGAGAATCAAGCACAACACTAAGTGGGTCACCTGGAAAAAACCACCACCGTCCTCCTTTGAGTTAAATGTCTCAATAACGAATCCTTCTAAGGAGCCCAGGGGAAAATAGTCCTACAGAGCCCTGGAATCCACCCTGGCTCAGTTTTTTTCACAACAATAACAAATTGGCACAGCATGCAGTGAAATGGATGAAGGGTTACCTAGCTCCAGGGACACAAAAGAAGCCATTCAAGACTCTCAACTTCTCTATACAGCTTTTGAACATATTGATTGCAGAACGACACAAGCATGAATAAGCAAATTTGCATTTCCCCCCCAAAACTACAGAACTGAACAGCTCATTTCTTTGCAGTCAAATGTAGAGGGGAGGTTAATGAAAATAAAGATGATTATACTACAAGGCAGCAAAAGGATACGGGCATCCCAGTCATCGCAACATAAACAAATGGACTCAAACAATAGGACTTAGCTAGACTAGAAACTGTTGCTTTGTATTAAGGTATACTTTATAGAAAATAGAATGGCAATTTTCCTTGAAAGGAAAAATTACTTTTGCTTTGTTTAAAGCAAAGCTTTGGGGGTATGGCATTAACCATGAAGAAAGTTGTAGGAACAGAAGAAAAGTAGACAGATGGCTACTATGTACCAAGGACAACTTCCAGGACCCTCTTCATCTCAGGAGTAAAGGCTACTGGTGATATATATTTTGTAAGAACGACTGGATCCTAAGGCTGATGTCTGACCCTCACCAACATGGGAAGCAAGTCACTAGCATCAAAGCCCTCCTGAGTCAGGCAGTTTGATGATGTATTTGGGACACTGAGGCCTGCAGACATGCCATCCCAACTCTCTCACGGACATACCAGAGCTTGGGGATGGAGGCTGTGGGTAGCAGAGAACGGGGTACATGACAGCACTGATTCTGGATGACTCTGGATTTGTAACAAAACAGGCACCTGCCAAAGGTGACAGAGGAAGTCTCCCACCCCCACATTCATGGCAAGTGAGTTTTATCTGGAAATAAGAACCTCTGTAACAATCCACTAGGTGATTTTGCTGTATCCTGAAACTCTGAGACTTTGATTGATCACAAAAGCAGCTATGGGTCCCTCAGAAATCTGTGTTTGTGTGTCTATTACTTATCTTGAGTCCAGTCAGAATGTTTGAGTGGGAAATATGCTTTGAAAGTCAGGCCCAATAGAGTAGCCCAACACACATACCTTGTAAGTCAAAACAAAACAACAGCAACAACAACAACAATAAAAACCCTCACAATGTGCTCTTGTCATACATCACAAAGTTTTTGCTGTGAGAAATTGAGTCCACGCCCCCCTATAGGTCCAATGAAGACAAGCAACTTTAAAAATCAGAACCTTTGTCCTTGCAATGGCCTCAGCAATTAGCTCCTACACACAGAGTCACAGATGCCAACAAAAAATGAACATGATGGCAGTGTCTGGAGACCTCGACACATTGAATCATCAAACTGAACCTTAATACCTGACCAAACATTCAAGAACTAAGCAAGTTCTCTACCAGTTAGAGCACTTCATGATTCGTGTGTGAGAATTCCATTAGACTCTATTGGTTCTGCCCGGAAGTGCTATCCTTGACTAGCTAAAGCATTCTAAAATGTGAACAAGTTAGATATTATGATTTTTTGAAAAATATTGAGTCAGTATCCAAAGTTTCCCTAAACCTTCTATGGAATGCTGACCAATTGATATTAGATGTCAGAAAATCATAGCCTTTCCTAGAGCATTTAAAAAAAAAAGACAAACAAAGCAAATTCCCAATCCCCCTATTTCTGTTATATACTACGTTGGTTGTCATTTTCCATATTTTTGACTATGAAATATTAGTTATTGTGAATGTCCTCATGCTTTCTTATTTGGGATGCTTTATATCAACAAGGAAATTTTAATTGCATAATCATTACTTTCTCAAACGCTGTTCTTGGTTTTATGCTTAGGTTAGTTTTTTGTTTGTTTGTTTTTCTCACTTGATACCTGTATTCTGGCTCAGAACAAACCTTCGTCTGCTCCTGTCATGGGATTTTAGAATTCTGAGTTGTCAGACTGAAGGAGTATTGATTACTTACCATATCCAGGAATGCCTTCTAAAGGGGAAGGTATTCACGTGCATCATGTTCGCAGAGCCTCCGTCATGAAGGTTCTCCTTGTCTCCTATGTTACATGTAGTGATTTTCACAGATGAATCCCAACTCTCTGGCTTGAGCATCGATCATGGACAATTATCGCAATAAGTAATGAATTCCCTCCGAAAGTCACCCCCCCAAAAAAACACAAATAACAAAAACAAAAGCCCTTCCAGGATTTGAAGGAAGAAGCATCACAGAGCACTGCAGGTGTGAGTCCATCCATGTAGCTTCCACTAGACACCACACTAAAATAACCAGTCCAGTTGCTAATCCTAAATGATGGCAAGAATTGTCCTGGTGAAATCCAGCTGCCCCGAATATGAATTAACGCATCCCCACGGAAAGGACTATGGAATGTGGACAAAAAGGAGTCAAAAGACAGTTTCTTGTGATCCTTGTTAAGGAAGTGTTAGGAGGGAAATGGAAAACTTCACGCTGCTTTGCCATGCTGTCCTTTAGGGAGGAATATTGCTTTTTCTTCCTTCTTAGGCACATATTCATGTGTGGTCACTTTAACGCAGTGCTACAGTCTGAGTCTGAGACTTGTCCAACAAAGACCCAGGCAGAGGGACTAGAGACCATGTAGAGCGCAAGCCAACTTCTTCCCCAAATTTCAGAATTGCTGGTTTCGAATGCTCAAGTAGGAAGGCAATGAGTAATTTCTGCTTTGCAGGACAGGATTAGTGTCGGCTCCCATCATGACTTCAGAAGGCGCTGTGGTGATGAAATTCATCTGCCGCCTAACCCCACAATAAGGCTGCCTGCTCTCCTTAAGTAAAATGACTAAGCTATCGACTGTCTCACTGTAGAACCCCCTCTAATTTCTTATCCAAACCGTGAGTGAGCTTTTAATATTTTGCCTTGGAAAGAAAATTAATTTCACAGCTGCAAGGCAGACGTTGTCTAAGAATTTCTGACTCGGCCGGCTTTCTTTTCTCTCTGTTCTCCTTACCCCCAATTCAGTTCCCAAATAGATGTCATTTACTCTGATGCTCTGACATCCGCAAGATTCTCATGCCCGAGCTATACAGACCTTGCATGCTTTTAAAACACAAGAGTGGCGACAGGCTCCAGCTGGAGTCCCCCCACACCGAATTTCCGGCAGAACCTTTGGAATCCTCGCAGCAGCCGCCTTGTCTGCTGTCCTGGGCTGTGCCGCCTCAGCTCTGAGCAGCTCAGGACACTTGCAGGCTCTGTGGTACTGTACATTAACTCTGCAGCAGCCCGCTTGCTCAGCTGCAGACTGCTGCCTGACAGGGGATGTGCTGGCGTCAAGGGGGCCCTCTAGGTGGGTTCCCAGACACTGCAGAGTCGCGCACTCTTGCTAGCCTCCAAGGAAGAGTGAATGAAAGGGGTTAAAGGAGGAGCATGCCCTGAAGGAGCAGATTTCTTATAGTAAGTAATTACCACGCAGGGAAAGCTAAAGAAACCTGTAAATAACCTCATAGGGGAATGACACGCTGAACAAATAGATATTATTATGGGGGGGATTCAGTTTGTTTGTTCAGTTTTCACTGTATTCAATAAGAAGACGGGGAACAAAAGAAGTCCAGAGAAAATGTACAAATGATAGGGCTTTTGTTTTTGCTTTTTTTAAAAAAACAAAAATATGGGGATAGAGAAGCCTTGCTTGCTAGAATATTTGTAGCCAGTTAACTACAGATTTCCACACTATGATTTTGGACAGGAAATCCTGGGGAAGGCAGTTCTGCAGAAATCAGTCAGACTTCAATTGCATCTGCGCATGCCATAAAGCTGCTTGTTTGATTAGTGGGTGTGTACCTAGGAGGAGAGCTCTCTTTTCATTTCCTGGAGCCTCCCCCCTTTGTTGTAAACAATTCTGTTCAATAATCCCCTGAAAGGACCCCATCACTGTTGATGCCATTTTGAAGAAAGAATAAAATAGTAAACTCTTGGAATAGTAGGTTGGTGCTTGAATGGTGCTGGTTGGGAATCAGTCAGAGAATGTGTTTCTCAGTGGTGATGTGCACAACATTAATGTATTGCTTTTAACTTGGGTATTTAAGAAGGCCATTATGCAACTGCTTAATATTAAATGGAATACTTGCAACACTTAATATATCATGCTACTTATCTTCTATTAGAGTTTCCCCAGTGAGTTCTTGTCCTTGCAGAAAATATTACTTGGAGAGAGGGGGATTCACTTCCCATAAATTCTCTAGCAAGTGTAAAAAAAAAATAGTTAATTTGAGAACCACTATGATATGCTCAGTTGATGATCCCAGGACAAGAATTCATTCCTGGAAGGAGGAAAACTGAGTAGTTTCTTTAAAGCAATTTGAACTTTGCATGCAGAAAGATGGTACCGTATAGCACAAAGGAACCTGAGGGAAGTCACTAGCACTTCCTGTGACACAGGCAATGTCCTTGTAGCACTTTGGTTTTGAAGGGACTAAATCTCTCTGCTAAGGTCATTTGTGATCCTGTCCAGAACCCTTCAGCTTGAATTGTTCTTAACAAGCTAATGATGCTTGGAGTCAGGTATCACACAGTAATCAAACTGGTATATTACAGTATATACTTGGATATCATTATTTAAGATCTAGGTATACTAGTCATATTCCTAGCTGTCTTTGAAGAAGTCCGGAGGGTAATCGCATTTAACCCACCCAATAGTGACTAACTCTGTTCTGCAAATGAAGGATGGAGGCACTTAGAAGTTAAGTGGGTCACAGGAACACAAACTCACCTGAAGCAAGAAGTCTGACCACACAGCTTTCAACTCGTGTCTTCATGGCAGTGATGACATGGGCTGGCACTAGTTTAATGCTTTCTAAGATTTTTGCCTGTATTATTTTGTCTCCACACAAGTAAGTGTTTTACCCCTTTGGGAATGAACTTAAGGGCCAGATTTTGTACAACATCACACTTGCAAGGAGAAACAGTTCTGGAGACCAATCAGGTTAAGGCACCTGCCCTTTGTCATTTAGGGTAGAGATGATGTGACAGGAGTTAACTATTTCAAAACCTGCACCTCTCATACCATGTAAGCAAGAAGGCCTCCTTAGGAAATAGCACATATAAAAACCAAAAATGACATAGTATTATAATTTCCACTCTAGTATTTTTCATTTGACATGCTTTGTTTGTTTTGAGCACATAATATTACCATTCTATTTATAGGCCAAATTCCCTCAGAATCTCTCCCAGAGAGAACACAGTTTTACATCTGATATTGGCTAGCAATAGCAAAATCACAGATGAGTCAGTCATTAGGTCATTAAATGAGATTTTGAAATTAAAATATACTCTAAGAAGATATTTCAGTGATTTTTTTGAAATTGAGACCTCACAAATGTTAGACATGTATTCTGCCACCGAAATGTTATATACCTACTGTTCCTTCAGCTTAATATTTTTCAAGTGAACCTTTCTTGTTTACTTTTATATATGTAACTGTATCAAATAAAGTATCACAAGCTAGATGGTAACAACTGAGAAACTACAATAAGTACTAAAAAGTCTTGAAGCCTAGCATATAAAAATATTATTCATCTTATAGTTCAGGGAGCTAAGATTACAAATTAATGAATTACTTTAAGTTGAGTAGTTTTGCAGACTCAAGGCAAATATAAGAGAAAAGGCATGTTTCCTCTATAGGAACAGCTTTTGATTCTGTATTAGAATCAGAGTTTTTGCTCTTCCTGTAAGCGACCTGAGGTAACCTGCGAAGATGGTTCGCTACTCTCTCGACCCGGAAAACCCTACAAAATCATGCAAGTCAAGAGGTTCAAATCTCCGGGTTCACTTTAAGAATACCCGTGAAACTGCCCAGGCCATCAAGGGTATGCACATCCGAAAAGCCACCAAATACCTGAAGGATGTCACTTTGAAGAAGCAATGCGTGCCGTTCCAGCGGTACAATGGTGGAGTGGGCAGGTGCGCCCAGGCCAAACAGTGGGGCTGGACACAGGGTCGGTGACCAAAAAAGAGTGCTGAATTTTTGCTGCACATGCTTAAAAATGCAGAGAGTAATGCTGAGCTTAAGGGGCTAGACGTAGATTCTCTGGTCACCGAACACATCCAGGTGAACAAAGCACCTAAGATGCGTCGACGAACTTACAGAGCTCACGGCCGGATTAACCCATACATGAGCTCCCCCTGCCACATCGAGATGATCCTCACGGAAAAGGAACAGATTGTTCCAAAGCCAGAAGAGGAGGTTGCACAGAAGAAAAAGATATCCCAGAAGAAACTGAAGAAGCAGAAACTTATGGCACGGGAATAAATTGAGCATAAAATAAATGCAGATAAAAGTAAAAAAAAAAAAAAAAAGAATCAGAGTTTTAAGAGACATGTCCACTAAGTTACAAAATGATACACCAGGAGACAATAATGATTGAATGTGTGACTATCAGAAAAGAGCAGCAGAATTGTGTGGTAGCTAAGAAACAAATTCTGCAAGAAGATTGACGGTACAACTTCTCTGTTTTGATGTATTCGAAGACAATTGTCACTTTCCAGAACTTCTAGTTCTAGGTGATCCACTGCAGGCTTTATTGCTCATCTCAGCCTCCTGGTTGGTTTCCATTAAAAAAGGATCACTAATTACTAGCTACTGCCTGGTAAACCTTGGTAAGGTCCTGTGGCTATGCTGTAGCCTCTGTTCAATCAGAAGCAAGACTGATTATGTTTTGTGACCTTTATTTATTTATTTATTTATTTTTCTCCAGATTTATTTTGGTAAAAAAAAATCAGACATAACCTTTCAAAAATTACATTAATGTTTAACATGCATTCAAATAACTTTCTTTTTTTTCCAGTTTAAATTTAGATAAGAAACGAGGTTGCTTCACAAGTCAGTTCCAGGTCCCGCTCCCATTCCCTCCCCTCCTCCCGTGCCATCCCCCCAACCCCCCCCCCCGTTATCCCCTCATTCCCCCAGGGAGGGTGAGGCCCTCCATGGGGGTGTCCATAGTCTGTCATTTCATATAGGGCAGGGCCTAGACCCTCCCCCAAGAGTCCAGGGTGAGAGTGCACCTCACATTGTTCTATGGGAGTCCAAAGTCCGTGTGTATACTTGGGATGGGTACTGATCTGCTGCCCAAGGCTCAATAGATTCCCTAGGCCTCCTCACTGACCCCCAGATTCAGGGGGTCTTGATCAGTCCCATGCTGGCTTCCCAGGCTGATGGTTTTGTGACCTTTAAATTTTCAATCCTGCAGAAAGCTTGGATTAGCTGATCCCTTGAGGCTGGAACAGCATTGACTACCCTCGAATGAGAGATGTGAGCAAAAATATGTTTAATTTTCTCATCAAGTGAGAGCTAAAATATGGAGCAAATCAAAATGCTTTAGTTAACATTTTCCCGAAAAAATTACTTTGGGATAGAGAGATGGCTTGTGGGTATGACAAAAGCTCTGCAAACACGAGGGTCCACAGAACCAACACAAAAACCTGGGCATGGTCACATAGGTTTCCATCACCCTTCACCCTAGATATATTGAGGAACAAAGGCAAGAGGACTGCCAGGCTTGCTGGCCACCAGCATAGCTCCAGATGCATTGAAAAACTGTCTCAAGGGATGGAGTGGGGACATACGCATGTGCAAACAAACACCACACAGACAATCACACATATATACACTGTCACTGAGGCTTTACTCGGGCTCTAAGCAGAAAAAATTAACCACTCAGCATTGCCACTTCCTTTCTAGTAAAATCCTTTTATTGTGGGGAGGCTACCTCATAACAGTGACAGTTTTTCATTCTAAATTCTCATAACTTTGAAATTTTGTCAAGTTGCCTTTGACCACCTGTGAATCAAAATGGAGACAGAGGGGTCTCTCCTTTTGCTCCTTCATCTCAAAGATTTGTTCTTCACAAAGAGGAACAGAGAGACAACACCCATTTTATAAACTCGTATTCTTCCCTCACATTTGAAGTTTATTCTCTTCAAATGTCTTCAATTTTCAATGTCCCCTTCAGGTGAGAAGAAGGCTAAGTTATACCATCATGCTAATATAATCACAGAACAATAAAGCCCCACCCTGGTCAGTCACTGAACTTGGGTGTTTCCTAGACCCTTAATCATTTGTACTTATCAGACTGGGAGGGGACATGGATTAACTCGTTGATTTTACCCACCAAGTTTCACTTTCAGAGAAACTTTTAACTTCAAATATCAAGTCTTTGTGTCACCCACATATCCTAGAATAATTAATAAGCTAATGTCATTGTTACCGTGAATGAAATAAGATGAAAACCCCCCTGCCCGTGATTAGACATGAAATG